AGGAACGGGAGAACACGAGGACAAATCCCGGCACTCCGAGGTGCTTTTTATCCCACCCAAACAGATCCGTGCAGTCCTTCTGGGCATCGGCGGAGCGCCGGAAACGGATCCCTGACGGGGAACAAAACCGGGAAAGGGAAAGGTCGGCGAGGAAGCTGCAGCCCGCGTTTCGTCTCGTTCCCTGCGTTACTCACCGCAGCAGGATAACCCCACAGCCATCCCCAGGAGCCAGAGGGTGCAGAGTGGAACAGCATCCATGCAGCCCGGAGCAGATATGGCAAGTGAGGCTCCCGCTAAAATCTTTGTCCTGCCCCGTTTTCGCGGGAAAAGCAGTTTAAGGTAGATACGGCGCTGGGTGAGCGGTGGGGGTGGGGACTCTAGATAACAGGCAGGATGAGACAAATCTAATCCAATGGTTTTTTTGGTGGTTTTTTTTTTTTACTGCAGAAGGAAAGAATGTGCATCCAAGTGTTTTTAACTTAGGGAGCCTCCTCACTGCTTGGCACATTATTCTTTCCTTTGTATCCTGCCTTTATTAGGTTTAGAAATAACTGAAGGCTGCGAACATATCCGAGTTTAAGCTTTCGATGGAGTATTGTAAAATACAAAAGTAAATAGGAAAGCAGTGGGAGGGGACAAGGGGAAGAGAAGCGAGGAGAGATAGGAGCAAAGAAAAAAGAAAAGGAAGCATTGTCTGCCGACTCTTTCTGCTACAGTAAAATAAGGCATTAACATCCCGACTTTTTACTTTTCCAACATTGTATGGCCAGCAAAGTTCCGAAGTGCACACGAAGAACCGGAGCCAGCGAGGTAGAAGAAGCGAGGGCTGAGCTCCAAGCGGATCTCTCGCTCCGTCCACGCGCTTGCTGATTGCTCTTTGGAATCTGTCGCCTGTCCCTCCCGCCGGAAAACCCAGGCGTTGCTCTTGTCCCGCCCTTTTCTCAGCGCCTTCTATATTAATGGGAGGCCGTTTAACCGTTTCCTCTTTTGCGCAAAAGTGATTAAATTCATTGTACAAGGCGAAAGTTGGGGTTTACCGGTTCAGGAACTCACCGTCTGCCCAACGTCTTTTCTTCGACGAGAGGTCCTTGTTTTTCCCACAGATCGATCGATCGAATCTATCTATCTATCTATCTATCTATCTATCTATCTATCTATCTATCTATCTATCTATCTATCTATCTATCTATCTATCTANGATTTTAATAGAACAGAATAACAGAGCTGGAAGGGACCTTGGTGGTCTTCTAGTCCAACCCTCGGCTCAGGCAGGAAATCCTATATCATTCCAGATAAACGGTTTCTGGAAAATGCAACTTTCGTTGGAGATGAACGAAGATCAAAGCAGAGAAACGAGAGGAAGTGAAAGTGTGTGTGTGGGGGGGCGGCGGAACAGGTTAGCGCATTCGGTCCCCAACAGCAGGAAAGCCCAGATTCTACACGCGCAATAATGAAAGCCAAAATTCTACACGTGGGACAATAAAACCCCAGATTCTACAGGTGCAACAATGAAAGCCCAGATTCTACACGCGCAACAATGAACGTTAAGGCGGAGGGAGCTACAGGAAAGAAGGAGTACTGGATAGACGGCTGACAAAGGGGGGCGCTTAACTGAAAAGGCGAAACGGCAGAACACGAGGACAAATCCCGGCACTCCGAGGTGTTTTTTATTCCACCCAGGAGCCCCCACCCCCACCCCAACATGTCCGTGCAGTCCTTCTGGGCATCGGTGGAGTGCCAGAAACGGATCCCTGGTGGGGAACAAAACCGGGAAAGGTCGGCGAGGAAGCTGCAGCCCGTGTTTCGTCCCGTTCCCTGCGTTACTCACCGCAGCTGGATCACCACAGCCATCCCCAGGAGCCAGAGGGGTGCAGAGTGGAACAGCATCCATGCAACCGGGGCAGATATGGCAAGTGGGGCTCCCCCTAAAATCTCTTTCTGCAAGATGTGACTTTTGCCCTGCCTGCCCCCTGCTGGTGGGATAAGTGTAAGGAGTTTAAGGTTTTTGTTTGTTTGTTTTTTTGTTTTTACTGCAGAAGGAAAGAATGTGCATCCAAGTGTTTTTAACTTAGGGAGCCTCCTCACTGCTTGGTACATTATTCATTCCTTTGTATCCTGCCTTTATTAGGTTTAGAAATAACGGAAGGCTGCGAACATATCTGAGTTTAACCTTTTGATGGAGTATTGTAAAATACAAAAGTAAATAATTCATTGTACAAGGCGAAAGTTGGGGTTTACTGGTTCAGGAATTCACCACCTGCCCAACGTCTTTTCTTCGAGGAGGGATCCTTGTTTTCCCCACAGATCGATCGTATCTATCTATCTATCTATCTATCTATCTATCTATCTATCTATCTATCTATCTATCTATCTATCTATCTATTTTCTTTCCTTAACTTCCCTTCCTCATTTCCTTTCTCTCTTCCTCCCTTCCTCATTTCTTTCTTTCTTTCTTTCTCTTTCTTTCTTCTTTCTTTCTTCTTTCTTTCTCCTCCTCCTTTCCTGCTTTCTTTCCTCTTTTTCTTATTTCCTTCCTCCTTGTTTCCTTTTTTCTTTCCTCCTTTCTTTCCTCCTTTCTTTCTTTCCCATTCCTCCCTTTCCCTTTACTTTCTTCCCTTTCTTTCCCTCTCCTCCTCTCCCT